GTGGCCTTGATCCAGCGGCATCCCCGCACCAAGCCAAGGTGGAAGAGCGTCCAGGTTTTAATATCTCGTTCGTTGAGCCACTGAGACAGAAAATAACCTTGGAACTCGCCGGCGGCGTTGAGCAAGCTGTTGCTCGCGTCCTTCAGCTCTTGTGCATTCCTGGCATACCGCATTTTAGCCATACACGAGAGAAGATCTAGTCTGCCCGGGTACTGGCGCTCCACCGCTTGGCAGACGTGAAACCAGCAAGTTGCCACCTGCACACCCGGCACCGCCTGATTGATGCCGTTTCGCTCAGCGCCGCATTTGTCGATGACGATGCGCACCGGATTAAACGCTTCACCTACGGCGTGCTTGACCTCGGACAAGAACCGCGCATATTCATGCTCGCGATCTCTGTCGGAGATCATGAACGCCAGCGGCACACCAGCGCCTGCTTCGTCAGCAGCGACGAGTGCTGTTGTCGCCCAGTCGTAGCGGTTGACTGAGAAGGTTGAATCCAGGAACAGGACCTTGGGACGAAGGGCGTCCCACGTTGCCCGCTGACAAGGCGTCATTAAAATCAGAATGTTCGACTCCTTCAGGGAGATTTCGAGGCAGCTCTGGCAGTCGCAGTGAACAAATTGATGATAGATGACATCGCTTTTGTCGCCGTATTGGCTTTCGCCGGGGCACTGCCCATCTGGGTAGAGCGAGTGAGGGTGAGAGCAGGCATACGACGAGGATGACGCGAGAAATTGGTCGATGCGCTGCTGGTCGGTTCCATGTAGCTTCTCGCTGCTTGAGTTGACTATCATCATGCGAATTGCGTCTTTGGTGGGATACCAGCGACCAGAAGTGTACGGTACGTTCCAACTTGAAAGAGGGCGAGGCGGCGGGTTGAGAGTTGGCCCTTCCAACTGCGCTACAATGGACGCCTCCGAGCACCCCTTGCGCACCAGATCCATGACCCACTCTTTGATTTCAGGATGCGCGCGCTGCTTGAAAGCGAGCGAGCCGTCGGTGCAAGCCGTGTCGTGGCGACCCATCTGCTCGAGCTTGAACCCAATAAGGAGCAGCTCGCCGTGCATGTGTTGGCCAAGCTCCGTCAATCTCAGACCGAAACTGCAGGATCCGGCGCCGAGCTCCGGACGTAAGTGAAAGTTGTTGTCAACTCGCTTCTTGCTGGAGCAGGCGCGAATAAATCGTTGTTGGAGAGTTGGTGTGTCTGGCACGGTCGTAGGCGGCCTCGACGGATCGCGTCTATTGAAGCAATACCAACGGCGTGTTCGAACAGGAATGACCGTCGTACTAGGGCTCCACTGCGGAAGTTTATCTCGCTCCTCCTTGGTGAGATGGACTCCCCTGCGCTTCCGAGGCGTTCTTGAGCGGCAGTTTTCGTCGTGCCCGTCTTGGTCGTTAAGAAATTCAAGAATGTCGTCCCTATCATCTTGCACTACGCTAGTTTCGTCGTCGGCCAAGTCGGTGGACGCGGGTTGCACGGAAGACAATCTGCAGTCGCATTCAGCGATGTCGTCGTCTTCGGTGGGATGGGCGTCGTATCGCAACCGAATGTCATGATTGTTCTCCTCGAGCATCTTGAACGCGTCTCTCAACTCGTCGGGGTTGGAAAATAGCCAACGGGAATGAACTTCGGTGTAAATCTCGGGTTTGACGCGTGCTTGACTGCTGTTTGCCTGAATCCCCCCCGCCGCCGCGGGGGAAGACGATGATGATGATGATGATGATGATGATGACGCCCCCAGAGGTTCCCAAAGCACAGATTGTCGTTTCTTCTGCCGCGCTTTGCCTTGATTCTTGTAGTTGCGGTCAAGACAGGGTTGACAAGTTTTGTTCGCGCTGTGAAATCGCGACCGCGGGACGTTGGATTTGCAACAGGGGCAACGCAACCTGACAGAAAGATGAACGCATCCGGGGTGTGCAATCGTCTTGTTCGACGGGTAGAACTTGTTCTTGACGCCAACGACTGGACACCAAAACTGAGGGTTTGGGCGGAAGGCAACTTCTCTAAAGTCATGGGTCTGCAAGGCTCGCTCCACATCGCCGTACGTTGGCAGCGCCTCTGGCTGGGCAACAGGTACATCCAGATCCATGAAGCGATCCTGGCTGGCGTCGGGAACGAGGTCGTGAAGGACCACCAGCCGCACACTGCATGTCTCGTAGCTTGGTTGCGGCTGGATCTCCTCGTCCTCCTCCATCTCGCCTCGTGCGCTCGCTGGCTCTTGTGCGTCGGGCTCTTATGCTTGGATGAATTGCTTGACGTGTGTGTGTGTTGCAGGTCTGGTCGGTCTCGTGAAGACAGAAAAGTACAAGAATCGACCCGAGACCTATGGCTCTAAAGAACAACAGAAAAGAGTGGCTCAATCCAGCCCAAAGTAGTAAAGATCCAGCTTCACACAAAATCGCTCCCCACTGCGATCGCCCCGCCATTGAGCCAAAACGGTTGTAAATATCATCTGTAATCACCCCTGAAAAGTGCGCGGTCCGACACCGACTGGACACGTCGGAAATCGAGCTCGGCGAGGGCGACCGGCGTTGTGGCGTTCTTCTAGGGGTCAAAACAGTGTTTCTGTCCTGCGCGCTTCCTCGCCGTAATAGTACGCGATGCACCCTAGGCAGTCAGTGTGCTCGATCTCGAAAATGCGGGGGGTGCAAAGTTGAGCAAAGATTATGATGCTCTGCTGCACTTGTCCTGGAAGAACGCTTGTGGCGCCGTTTTGCGGTGGCCTCGAGGCCATTTTTATTTTTCAATTTTCTGAGAAAACCGCTCATCTGAGCACCGCCACTCCTCTGACACTATTATTGGCCACATCAAGTCGATCACAATGGTGGGTCGATTATGGTGATATCTCACGATTGCCATTTTACCATTCATTATGGAACCCGTAGGGATTTAGGCGTATTGTTCTGGTTCGCACGTCATTGATGTTATTATCATACTGATCATGATTCAATGTAGCACAATATTGGGGATGTCATTCTATTTTTTTCCTTCTTTCTTCTGTCAATGAGCGACCAGAAGGAAGAGCTGCCGACCGTTGGCAGCGTGCCTCACTTGGCCTCGACCTCAACTGGCGCCTCGACTTCAGCATCATCGTCATCATCATCTTCAACTGCATCGTCGTCGTCGTCGGACGTTGTGAAGGCTGCTGTTGCTGACGCTGTCGCCCAAGCCGCCGAGCACCCGCCGATGAGCGCCGAGCAGGCAGCCACCCAGCCGTCGTCCCTCGCCAACCTCTCCCAGGATCAGGTACACGACATGGAACGCGTTCTTGACAGACCTCAGACCCCGCGCTCTCTCTCTCTCTCTCTCCCAATCACCAGCATTCAGAAGCACTCTGGCTTTGTCGCTTTTGTTGAGATCTCGCCCTCGCTTCCCCCTGCGCCTGGCTTGAGGCAACGTCCCACTCACGTCGCTGAGAAA